ATGTTGTTTTTATCTTTAGAATTTTATGTTTTTATATCTTGAAGATAAAGTTGGGTTGCAAGGGTTTTCATCTCTTGTAATCTTTTTGTTTTGTTTCTCATTGTTGTTTCATTTTGTTTCATTGCTGTATGAAATGCATCTAGTTTGATTTTAGTCAGGAACTCTAAAGGTTCTGTGAGGGTTTAGTAAATTATCTTTATCAGCCAGTGAAATTGGTGTTTCTGTGGGAATAAACAAAACTCTAGCATCGGCTGACTCGTGTTGCCATTCACCTCAGTGAGCTGAGGTAAGAAGGAGGAGAACACAGCAACAAGCAGCTGACACCAAGCAAATTAATGAATCAGGTTTATGGCAGCTGGTCTGAAACCTGCACCGCCGAATCCAGAGTTAACCTGCATAAAGGTACAGATAGAGTTAACACCATAAATATTGGGAAACGCAAAATAATAATCTGCAATATCTGTACACAAAAGCTTAAAAAGAAGTGCTTAGAAAGCATGTCATGGAAGATCACTCAGGAGCTTGGGCCTGAAGCAGGATACCAAAGGATAGTAGTGTATTTCAGTCTAAAAGTGACAAATAAAATGGCTTTGTTTCTGCCTCACTCTTTGTCAGCCCAGCCACAGTGCTGGGGGAAAATCTTCTCTGAAATCAATAAACAGCCATTAGCTGCAAAGCTAAGCTGTTCCAAATGTTCCATCTTGGATTAAACCTCAGATGTACTTACTATTGATATTCATTATTTTGAAATCTAAAGTGTTTTTTTCCCATAATATTGATGTCTTTGTGGTGTGTTCAGGTGGTCTACATTGCCCCCCTAAAAGCCTTGGTGAGAGAAAGGATTGAGGACTGGAAGATCAGGATTGAGGAAAAACTGGGAAGAAAGTATGAAGTTGACCTCAACAAAGTCAATCCTATTTTTAGTAACAAAACACAGTCAGTGTGTCTTCAGCTGACCCTTTGTCAGACAGGCAATGTCACTATTTGCATGAAAAATATTGAGCCAAAGTCTTGTCATGTTTGTGTTTGTTAGAGTGGTGGAGCTGACGGGGGACGTGACTCCAGATATGAGAGCTATAGTGCAAGCCGATCTGATCGTCACCACGCCGGAGAAGTGGGATGGTGTGAGCAGAAGCTGGCAGAACCGAAGCTATGTCCAGAAAGTAGCCCTTCTTATCATTGATGAAATCCACTTGCTGGGTAAGTGACATGTTTTACCACCTCCACTTGTTTTAAAAGGTTTGCTCCATGTGGTTCTGCAACTCCAGGGGCAAGTTGTAGGATTAAACACTGGTGGGTCTAACTTGAGGAAAATCTATTTTTTATACAAGGAAACGCCAGAGGTAGGTAATACAGATTTATTACCTACGTCTGGTGTTTCCACGTAAACAAAATACTTCTACTACCTATTTTTGCATTTTATATTTATATAAAATCTAAATATAGGTAAAAACTTAGACACTTAAAAATAGAAAATACCATAAATATAAATCAGATAAGAGCATGTTAAAACTAAGCGATAAAATTAAAATGCCTTGTTAAAAATTGTGAGTGAATGAATGACCCAGAAAGCAGACTAAACAAGTAAGTTTTAAATTGAATTCCTTAGGAAGGCTATTTTTACATGCAGGAGCCATAATGAGAAAATGATACCAGTGGAATGTAGTTAAAGGGATCCTCGATTAGTTGTAACATTAGACTTTATTTGATAAACATACTGTATATTTTAATTGTAAAATAAAGACTGTAAAAATACTGTAGGCGGTTTAGTTTTGTACATTTTTAAAAATATACTTTAACACGGACGGAGCATTTTATTTACACGCAAAGCATTCTGGGTAAATGATGACGTGGATAGGTCATCAGTGCGAGGCTGCTAGCGAGCTATATCCACCCTGAAGGTTAATCTTGGACAATATCTGATGATCGACTCTTTTAAATGAAACCAGAGTGTTGACAGAGAGGAGAAGGTAGATGGAGGACAACAGAGCTGCTTCATGGAAGAAGAACCTCAGCTTAGC